TTGATTAAGGTTGTTTTTCTGTCATAAGGTATCAAATCTCCAGTTAACTATAGTTATGAGATTGCTCTTAATCCTGAGTTTATTATAAATAGGTAATCAAATAGTTTTCATTCTTTGATTTACCAACGGGTGATGTTCGATCTATTGACGGCCAATAACTCGGTATTTTGGGAGTGAGATTATTTGATTATCGGTATTTATGAGATAAATAACATGGAATTTGTAGGATATGTCCCCTTGATATGTTTCGGTACTTGGATATTAAAGACACTGGCCAGTGCATCTAATCCATTAGAGAAACTATCATAGTCAAGGGAATAAATAATTGATTGAGTTACAGAAAACTTGTCAATCAATTATAGACATTCTACAAAGGGGCGATGCATATTCATGTTATAAGTGTTGTTAATCTTGGAGTTCAAGTTCGGGCTTTTAGTGGAGTAGCACCGAATTAGATAATCATTCGTTGATTATCAGGAGCCTTGATTAATAACATATGGTAGATCCCCAAGCTAGCTTGAGACAAGGGATGGGGTATTTTTCGGATAGATCATGACTTATGGGTTACATGATCTTGGGTTTTACGACTCAAGTTTGTATCCAAAAGAGCAAGTGGGAGATTGTTGGGTTTGCTCTTTTACTAAAGCCCAAATGGGTTATTAGTATGAGAAGAGCCCAAGGAACCTAGAGCCCAATGAGTTAGGGTTTCTTGGAACCCATATAAATAGTACCTCTTAAGTCATAAGCCTCAAAAAGGTCTTTTTTGTGAGAAAGAGGCAAGCTCAGAATCTAATCAGTGCCCACACACTTCCCCTTCCTCCTCGAGAGATAGTTTGGAAGATCTGCCACAGTCCAGCTTCAAGGAGATTGTTCGTGTTGCGGCGCTGAGGTGAGCTGTTAGTGAATAGGAATCCTACAAGGGAAGATTCTACACAAGACCTGCACACCGAGAGGTAATTGTGAAACAAGGATGATTCGGTAAGCATACCAATGTACTAGGTCCTAAACCGCTTCCGCATAAATCTAAGATTTCCTACAGGAACATGTTTGTTTGTGATAAACAACATAAGCCAAATACTTTGTGATACATGGTCCCAGTTCCATTGGTATTATGAGGAAGAACCGAGCATCCTACATGAAGTAGGCGCATGGGGATCATCAACCGAGCATCCTACATGAAGTAAGTGCATGAGGATCATCATATGTTTCGAAATCGAGAAAAAGGTACAACTCCTCGTGACAGAGGATAAGATGTTCAGTCCTCTATGAAGAAAATATCAATCCCTCCACTACTTGTTGAGCTGTGAAGCTGATTTGTTACAGTTGTTAATATAAATGGTCCTTTTTTCTACTCGAAGAATAAGCAGAGTAGCTTTTCAAACACATAATAGATTGAGGACCCGGTCAGTTGTGGCAACCTCTTCAGTTATCCATGGCAGCAGTCTAAATTGGTTATGGAGGCATTCTATAAGATGCATCTAAATATAGTTATTTTTCTCTTCCCTAATATTCTGATCAACATATGAATTAAATAACATTTATGTGTTTCACTACTTGTCGAGATGAAGAAATGATATGTAGTAAACATATAATAGCATTTTTGTTTGTCTTTAGTCTTTCAGGTTGCTAATGAAATGGTTTAGGCAAACATCCCTAGCATGAGCACCTGAAATATAAATATTGTTTTCATTTTACTAACTTCATTTTCCTAGCATGGGGCAGTAAATGTCGGCTCCAGCATATGAAACAAGCATATAGACAAGGAAAGCTACTATATGGTGTAACCCGGCTCTAATTTATGCAATCGGTTTATAACAGATAAATATGTTTGTGTCATTTTGAAGAGTTCAAGTGCAATACTCCGCTATGTCTCAAGCTATATGACTCGGCTACATCAAGCTATATACCTGGTCAGTTATGCACAATGCAATATTGAAGCCCCACCAACCAGCACGACCGTCATATTACCAAAAATCTAATTCTCCATAATTCATGACATCGGCTCTTGTTTTTGGATTCTAACCATGGACCCTCGGACAATTGGGAGAGTTTTGAAAAACAAAAAATGGCAATCATGGTTTTTTTTTTTGAAAAGGCTAGAGCTTATTACAATATTGGTGGAGCCCACCCACAATTTGGAGGGTCATTGCAAAATGAACTTATTAAAGGTATGCAACAAAAGTATACGAAGAATGTGAATGCAAATTGAAGATCATATTGATGTCTTAAATCGGTCCCATTCCAGTTTAAGGCATGTGGAGAATTATATGATAAAGTAGATATCTTGGATTATCTGCACAAATTCAACCACCGAAACCATAATATGATCAATGGTGGAGCCTACCCATTCTACTTGGCAGCAAAACAAATGTCTTGGACATTAAATGTCACAACATCGTTTGAAGGAAAATTCATGCACAATCATCTCTGATGTTATATCCTCCCCATTGCTGGAGTTGTTCTCTATTATAAGCAAGATAACTGGAGAATAACAGGGAAGCATTTCTTTCCTTATTTTTATATCCCATTAATCGTTATTGTTCTCTTTATACGACTTCTTGTTTGACGAAATTTTCACATGTTGTGAAGTTTAAGCATTTATATGCCACATGCACAGCCCAAACATTAGGCTAATATTGTTATATGAGAAATATGTTGACAAAATCAGGTCGACAAATTGGCCATAGCACTCAATAGTTAAGCAAATTGGCCATATAGCTGAGCTTTAAGCTTTGGACACTAAATTCAGAGATCACTTGCATCCCGGCTAGTGCTACAACACTGAGAATCGAGATAAAAAGTAAAGATGAAGACAAAATTGGAGAGACGTCAACCTAAAAAAAGAATCACACCCCAATCCGCGATAAAATGAGTGGACTTGGAAAAAAGATCACACCCCTATCCGCGATAAAGACCCAGGATAAAAATCTGGGGTAAATGAAACTCTAGCAAGAAGCCGAGTTAAATATTATGAAACCAAGGTATTGGAAACCTACGTCTAGCAACGTGCAAGAACCTGGATAGAAAACAGGTTAAAATAAAAAGCACACTGCAGGACTGTGGCTTCTAGCCGAGGCATAGGAAAACATAAAGACGCTTCTGGATCCTAAATGTTGTCAAAATAAACAACATGTGTACAAGCTGTGATAAATGAGATCAGGCTTGAAAAATAAGGGGCAAATTGATACGACCCTGATCAAGTCACCATGATGCCTCAAGTTTTAAAACCTGGTCAAGAAAAGTGGGTTAAAAGCAAAAAGCAGAATCTGCATGAAAGACCTTGGTCAGGTCATTTTCGTCAGTCAATCCTGAAAAAGCTAATTTGAATCAGTAAAGCCACGGTACAGGAAGCCGGGCTCAAAATGAAAGCCTCAGAAAGAGAAGCTGAGATCGTTGTTAAAAGGAGGCGAACACTGCCTCATTAAAGCACCACCACAGCCAAAAAGGTTGAGAGAGAAATACGGAAATAACATACTCAATACCCGGTTCACTAGAACCAGCTGAATGAATGATTGAGACAATAACTACAATCACAGACCCAATTAAGTCGGCCAAGAAAAGTTCTGACCCAATGAAAATTGTCAGAAAAAGAAGACAGGTCCATTAAATATGGAGACAACCGCTATTACACCCTGGCAGCCCAGACAACCAGACTACTAGGCTGGGGGGCAACTATTATGGATCTGATAAAGACCCATATTCTATAAGGTCCAATAAAGGACCGCACAAAAGAAAAATGAATCTTCTGTTAATGATAATCTTATTCAAACAGCTAAGCAGTTGGACTTGGGCTCCCAATATTCCTAAGAGGCCTAGAAGTACACTCTTGTCAGGTAACCCATCTATAAATAAGGGGTTAAGCCAATAAGGTACACACATTCTAAATCCTCTATATCTTAGCTGTCACTGTGCACACACCTCACTTCTTGACTATGTCGATTATTATTGTCCACAGTGATCTGCCTATCATCAAAGGTATCTCATTCATAGATACCTGAGAGAGGACACATAGATCTTACATAAAATATACTAGCCACCGGCTGGATATCTCTGTCCCTCAGACAAAACAAAAACACAATGAAAAGAGAAAGTTAAGAGAGAGTGGTGAAAATCATAGAAGCCAAAAAATTAATTTATATCAAATGATAATTGTTGATTTGATTTTATCCGACGACGATTAAATTGATGGTAAAAATGATAATTTTTTTTAATGATAAATATATCCATTCTCATATTATTATAGTAAAATAAGATACAGTCTCATTGTAAGATAACACAAATAGGATGAGAGGGGAATTATTCTTACCCTACATGATGAATGGATCCGTTGACAAGAGCTACCATCAACTACCCGAGCCATAAATAATTAAATGACGTGTTGGATGAATGTGAATCCTCTGAACCACTATAGGTGGGGTAAGTAATGGATGAATGTGATAGCGCACACTCAGCAGTCAGCACTATCACACGCATGACACAACGCACCACTTACCAAAGTAGTTTACCAATTCATTCAATTTAAAGATTAAAATGAGAAATAAAAATGATTGAGTTAATATAAATTTTATATTAACTGATAAATATGAAAAAAAAGTGTATATCATTTTTAAAGAATGTAGAGTTGTGTTATTTTAAGTAAAAGAAAAAGATAAATAAAAGGAGAAAGAGAATGAACAAGAAAATGTGTGAATTCCATCTCTTTATAAGAGTGGAATTGCACAAATTGTGTCATTTAAAATGATAAATATTTAAAAGAGATTTATTCACTTAATGTGATCTTCCGCCTTGAAAGAATTTTTAAGATTCGGCTGTCGACCGAAATATATATTGAGAAACAAAAATAAATAATAAAAAAACAAATATTTTTCCTAATAAATATAAAACAGTTTCATTTTTTATTTTCAAATCGAAAAAATCGATACTTTATTAATTAATAAAAGAACTAGTCGAGTAATAAAAATAAAAGTGACCCATGTTTTACTGCTCTGTTATTCCCAAAGCCGATACTCCTTTCTCTCTCTTATAAGATTCTTCTCCTCCTTCTCTCTCTCTCTCTCTCAGCTCATCTTCTGCTTCTACTATTGTAGCATTGAGCGAACCCTAACATTGCAGACAACGTGTTTGGCTGAAGCTCAGATCGTCATGAAAGCAGCACGAATCATCACTTCTCTCTTTGTTTCCCTAACCCTAACCCTAACCCTAACCCTGGTTCAGCTCGCACGTGCTAATTCCGAAGGGGACGCTCTGTATACCCTCAAGCGGAGCCTCTCCGACCCGGATAACGTTCTCCAAAGCTGGGATCCGACCCTTGTTAGCCCCTGTACTTGGTTCCATGTCACCTGCAACCAGGACAACCGGGTCACTCGAGTGTATCTCTCTCTCTCTCTCTCTCTCTCTCTCTCTCTCTCTCTCCGTTTTTGTGTTTTTGGTCTGTGATTCTATTTGTGTTGTGAATAGTCACTACTAATCACTTCACCCTCCTTTATTACCATTTCCCCCTTTTTTTGTAATGAAAATAATTTCATTATTTTAGAAACTATTGGTTCCTTTTTTTTTCTTTTTTCTTTTTGGATTTTGAGGAAGATTCTCTTGAGATTTGTATGTGTGTTATTTGTTTGTTGTGGGTTTTCTTACTTTCTTTTTTCTTTGTAAGTCAACGTCGTGTCTGTTGTATTTCTCTGTAAGGGTTATGTGAAGTCAATAGTTCTATTTCCGTGGAGGGGCTTTGTTAGTGCGACTATAATTAGTATTGGTTTTTTACGATTCTGATTTCTAATGATTTTCTCAATTTGTTAATTGCTTTCGGAAATTGAGCGATTCTCTGTTAGATTGTGGACTTTAAATTTGAGGTTGACTCATTCGTGTTGGGATTGATTTATTTGTAATGAAACAAACGACACGCTTTGCTCCACTGTGTTTTGATTAAATTACTTTCTCTTCCTGTTTAATGTGAAAAGCTTTAACGTAATTTACGCCGATGCCTCTATTTGTATCGTATCTCTTTGCTGTTTGAATTTCTGGGCATTGCTGACAGTTAAATATACTTTTGTAACAGTGTAATACAAACTAAGTGCATTGGATAGACTAAAGCAATTAATATTCTCTCAACGTTTATGGTGACCATCTAGCAACCCAGAATGCCCAAGAACTTGGAGATGTTAATCTCATTAGTTTAGTTTATCTTCTCGGTTGTTATATTTCAAATTAGTTGTCTTATCTTTTCAGTAGTATTGGTTATCTCATTTCTAATTATGTTATTAGATTTTTTATCTTATCTCTTGGAAGGTGTAAGCAGCTATAAAATAGATAGCCCACTGTTCACAAAAGGAATTAATTAAGCAATTACAACTTTGTTAATTACTTCCTCCCAATTATTCTCTATTCCTCAATTCTCTCTCCCAATATCCTCTGCAATCTTCTCCTTCTCTCCTGTTTTCCCTAAATATTATAAAATTATTGCTACACCGTCTTATAATTCTTTCTACAGGGATCTGGGAAACTCTAACCTTTCTGGACATTTGGTACCTGAACTTGGAAAGCTAGAGCATCTGCAGTATCTGTATGTTATCTAATATTTGCTTAATATTTTGTGCTGATACTTTGACCGCAAGTATGTTAAATGTGAGAACATTGATCAAAGTGCCACTATTTGGCAATTTTTTTATCCAAATGCCATGCGAACAATACTTTTTAATAGACTGTGCCATGCGACGTAATTCGCTACGACTGGTAGCGAATTACGTTCGCCAATTATTTTGTGACACGTGGCATAGTCGCACTAGTGGTAGCGAATTTGGTACGCAATATGGCCACGTGTCACGAAATCATAGGCGACGAAGTTCGCTACCAGTCATAGCGAATTACGTCGCGTGGCAGTCTGGTAAAAAGTACTGTTCGCGTGGTATTTGGGTAAATTTTTTTCCAAACAGTGGCACTTTGGTCACTGTTCCTTAAATGTGCTTGTATTATTTTTGAAATGATCAACTTAATAACATTTTCTGTCATTATCCTCTTGTTGTGAATTGCAGTATTTCATATTTATTACTGTGGTTCTCTTTCTGTTCCATGTAGTGAGCTGTACAAAAACAACATTCAAGGAACTATTCCTCCAGAGCTTGGAAACCTGAAAAGTCTAGTTAGCTTGGACTTGTATAACAACAACATATCGGGCACCATCCCACCTTCATTGGGGAAATTGAAGAATCTTGTCTTTTTGTAAGTATGGCTAATATAATATTACTCTAGTTGAACATGAAAGGCCTGTCCTATGGCCTTTGCCTCCCCTTTCTCTGTATCAGAATTGCTTATGTTGTATAGCGAGGAAACGAGAGGCATATGCTGAAATACATGTGTCTCAATAGCACAACTGACGCTATATTATGAAAACTGATTATGACAATTACATAGTAATAATTTAATGATGTATGACTTCATCTCTCACAATATTATAAGCCTATTTACAATATCTCCAACAGCTAACAATGCTTTGAATGATGTAGGAGAAATTAAATAACCTCTGAACTGCAACTTGTTATGCATTTTGGTGTTTTAACAACTACCTAACAATAATTTAACGATGTGAAACTTCATTTCTCACAATATTATCAAACTATTTATAATATTTCCAACAGCTTACTAGGCTGTGAATGATGGAGGAGAAATTCTAGAACCTCTGTACTGCAACTTGTTATGGACTATGGTGTTTTTCAGTTGTACATTTTATATAAGCTTTGGGCATGGAGAATTTTGGGTTTAGTGCTTGTTGTTTAGATGTTGAGCTGTAGGGCATGTATTTGATATTAAGACAGCTCAATCATTGCATAGGTGCTAAATGAAATGCTTCCAACATTTAACACACTCACTCATTCCCAAATATAAAGACTTGATCACAAAAGGAAAATTTAGATTTTCAAGGGTAAGTTGAATATTGAATAGGGTTATAGAAAAGCATTGAGGCCAAGCGTGCTTTTAAAGATCAGTTGATATATTTCTGTGTGCAGTGCTGCATGAACAGTGGCATGGCAAAATGCTTAAGAAGAAGCTTTTTGGACCATATCAGGATACATGGTTCATTTACAAGATTTGAACTAAATATTTTTGAAAACCTAGATTCTTGTGTTTTAAGACCAAATTTAAAATGCAATTTGATATGTCCATGCAAAAGGCAATACTTTCTAATTCTGATTGGAAGAAGGGAGAGTGCCAGAAAATATATCTGCCAGACATAGTTCAGACATTCCAGCACAACTCTTTCTGATTAAATTGAGATTTTACTATACAGTCCCAAGATCAAATAATTCAATGGACCATGACTAAGCACATCTCAAAATCCTTGATATTAAACCTGAATTAAACTACTAGTTTGTGAATGACATAGTATTTAGGTGGTCAAATTCTTGAACCTATTTAGCCCTTCCAGAGGCTGAAATTTCTTCGACCAATACTTGACAAGTTGCATAATTGAGATAAGTAGGAATCTGAGTTAGTAATCCCATTTTGAAGTGTTGGAAGCTATTAGTCTTTCAATATGATACTGCATAACTTCCCACATTGCTGACTGACAAGACTTGATTATTATTTTGGGGCATAAATTGTTCAGCGCTTCCATGTTTCTTATCAGTATTTCTTTGCAGACGACTAAATGACAATCGGCTAACTGGCCCAATCCCCAAGGCACTAGCTGCTATTTCAAGTCTTAAAGTAGTGTAAGTTACATTGTTGTCCTTATATTTTGATAAAATTATGCTGTGTTATCATGAAGATTTGTGCTTTCAAAGAGACTAAACATTCAATTTATCTTCAGGGATGTTTCCAACAATGATTTATGTGGTACAATTCCAACCTCTGGGCCATTCGAGCACATTCCATTGAATAAGTAGGTCCCAAAATATCTTGTATTTCCTATCTACTAAGCATGTGGCTTTCTTCTTATTCTCCATGTGATACTATTCATGTTGGTTTTTGCTTGATTTTTCTTTTCTTATCTCCTGCACCTTTTTTTTGATGTTGTTCCCCTCTCCCCTGCATTTAGTACCCTATGCTCCTCTATCTATCGACCTGTTTCAATTTTTGGCTACTTAATTGAGATGTTGAGGGTGTCTTGCCTTTGGCTGTTCATATCCTATTTGTGGTGATGCTGTTAAAATTGTGATGGTAATATTTGATTGCTAATGTATGTGACAACACAATGTATGTGGTAGACACACTCCATTCCTATTGTGCAGTACTAGGACTGACAAATTTTGATATAATTAGATCCCTGCTTCAGCTGCATGCTATTTGATAGGCTGCCCGGGTGAAACGTACTTGCCATAATGGGGAGTCAGATTGCATTTCATTGTCCTATACAATAATCATAGTTGGTATTCCTGCATTTGTATGGTGCACTGGTTCTGAAATCATTTAAAGTTTGCCTCCTTGAATCTAGCTAGAACATATTTCCTGCGAGCTGGGTGTTTTTTTTCGCCTTTCTGTTACTTATTGAATAAGCGTTGTTTTGTTTCAATGCTGTAGCTTTGAGAATAACCCTCGTTTGGAAGGTCCAGAGTTGTTGGGACTCGTTAGTTATGACACAAACTGCTCGTGAATAATGTGATGCTGTAGGATCTCAATCTGCGTTGAATTATATATATGTATTCTAAAATTGAAGTGTATTACCTCATAGTGTAATGGGCAGTGGTAAATGTAATCCATCGTATATGTAAATTTATATACTGAAAGGTATTGGCATTTGTAACAGTATGGTGATCTTCCAATGATGTTGAAGACATGAATATCTGTTGATGTAATACTTGAAAAAAATTTGACTTGGTCACTGATAAAATATTTGTGACGCTTGGCTCTCTATCTTCTTTAGATGGACTTAAAAAAATTGACAAAAATACTTTTTATGATTTTTTTTTTAAGAATTTTTTTAGAAGTCAGGAGTTATCTGGTGTTAGGATCAATATTTAGGGAGTACTTTTTTTTTTTTTGAACAAGATAGTTTTTTTTTTTGAACAAGAGAGTACTTTAAAAGTAAAAAAAAATTTGGATTAAAGAAATATTATTTTACTTTTACTTTTTTTGGAAAAGTTGCATCTAAACACAATGAAAAACACTTAATTTTCTTATAGCAGCTCTTTATAAAGTAGAAAAAATCTTTCTATATGGACCCTAATACTGTGTTTAGTTCCTATAGGAAGCCCCGTTATGGTTTCTTTGTCAGTAGCAAAACAAGTACTTGTCTCCGTGGTATTCCCTTCACATGTATGAGTTATACTTGGCAGTATAAGGAGAAAATAAAATAAAATTAAAAGTATAGTCTGACCCTTAAGAATTGGTTGGTATCAAACTGTTTCAAGTTACTAGGAATAATCTCTTAGACTACTTCCCTTAAAAGGGAGCAATAATGAAGCAAAGGATGCAATGTTAATAATACCTAAGACACGAAAATAAGAGCCTTGTGCGTTACATGGCTCAAGTTAACTATTGAAAATTGACTTTTTGATCTTTTCCCCCTCCATCAATTAAATAATAACTATTTTGCCTTTCACAAATATTTTATTTATCTGCCCCTATTTAATCGATTAAATCACGGGTTTAATCGATTAAACAGTTAAAAAACGCAAAAAACACAAATATCGTGATTTGATCGATTAGTTTGCATTGCTTAATTGATTAAATAATGTCAGTGACCTTTTTAAAAACCTCATTTGTGGGTGGGGTTATAAACCACACCCTAATCAATTACAAACACCCAAAACCTATCCTTTCGGATTTTTGCCCAAAATCGTGTGGTGGGTTCATAAATAAACATCAAAGTATATACACTCTCGTATTGGTATGTATTTTTTGATTTCCTCCAATTTGTTTTTCTATTTTTCTATTTTTTTTTTGGGATTCATGAACCCTAGATTGATTGAAAGTGGTTTGGTTTGATTGGCTCTTTTTTTTTTTTTTTTTTTTTTTTGCATTGATTCTTCGCTTTGATGCATGTTTAGTTTAGGTTTTGATGAATGTACATTGTAGTCTCCCGTTTGATTTTCATCATTTTCGTTTTTCCTTCAAATTGAACACTATTAGGACCTTCAAAATGCCTCCCATCGTGGTAGATCATTGTAACATATATGTTTGAACTTGAGCTCATCTTGCACACGAAATTGTGACTAGGGTTTGGATTTTTGGGGGTTGGGTTCGGATTTTTCCAACAACAAAAAATATGTATCTGCATCGACAATAATTTCGCAAGAAAACCTTTTGAGATGGTGGGATAAATAGCTTCTTGATGGGTTGGATTAGAGATGAGAAATGAGAGAGATTTTGGTGTAAAAAATGGGTACAAGTGAAATGTGACCAAGACATGTAGATATAGGAGTTCTGACATTATTTAATCGATTAAGAACTATGACTTAATCGATTAAATCATGAGATTTGTGTTTTTTGTATTTTTTAACTGTTTAATTGATTAAGCTCGTGGTTTAATCAATTAAACAGAGGTAGATGGGTGAAACATTTTGAGGAGGGACAAAATGGTTATTATTTAATTGATGGAGACAAAAAAAATTAAAAATCCATTAAAAAATTATAAAATCATTAATAAGTTTGGGAAAAGAGAAGGTAAAAATTTATAGGGTTTTATAAGAGTTATGTTGTAGGAAAAATGATTGTGTTATGTTATAGAGATTCGTTTTGCGTGTCGTAGTTTTTTTTCTTCTTCAAAACATGCGGGTCCCACAAAATGTTGTGTGTATAGGAAACTTTTTGTGGTCATGTTAAATGATGAATGCAAACCCCAAATTTATAACATAAAAATAAACATATTCCGCCCTTCTACCCCCTTTTCTCATTTTCGATCTCTTGGATCAATTTTTTCTGTTTTTCAAAAAATCATACTCGGTATTGCAACATTCAAGACTTCAGTGTACTGTACAAAGAACAAGTAAAATTATAAATGTTTTCAATAGAACAAGTTCAATGCGAATCAAACAATATTAGGACGGAGTAATGATATTCATACTTTTATATTTTTCAATTATACAGGTGGTTATATTTATGTTTACAAGGAAAAAAAGTTTAAGTAATTTGTACAGTTATTCAAGTTTGAATGTAATAACTAATAAGTTAGAATAATGTAATTTTCTAGCTTCTTGACAGGTTTAATTGGTCATTATTGGAAATTGATGTATTAATGTAGTGTACTCAAAAAGTTGGCCTTAAACTTACAAAAAAAAAAAAAAGTTGTACTGATTATCTATGTTTATATGATTCGACTAGATGAACCAATTGTCAGGATGGCCGAGTGGTCTAAGGCGCCAGACTCAAGTTCTGGTCCTCGTATGAGGGCGTGGGTTCAAATCCCACTTCTGACACACGTTTTTAGATTTCCTAACTTTTAAAATTTAGGTTTTTTTTGTACTAAAAAAAAAACTGTTGTTGTAACTCTAAATTGTAACCGGTGCTATGAAAACTTAGGGTCAGTTTGGATGAGGAATTCTTTTAAAGAAAAAAGTTACCTCACTTTAAATTTTTTTGGATGTCTGTTTTTTAAAATAGAAGTCACAAAAAAAAAAAAAATCTATTTTTTTAAAAACTAAAAATTTTAACTTCTAAAAAAATATAGATCAAAAGTCAAATATTTTTATGAAAATATAAATAGTTTTAACTTTTATAAAAAATACTTTTAAAATAAGAAAAAAAATTAAAAATTACTTTTGCTAACCTTTCACTTTGACGCAATCCATGCTTTATTAATGAGGTAATAGTTGTCATGACTTTGATTACTGTCAATTCTTTATTCTAGTGTGTTCAATTTCTCTCGTATTCTCTTTCCTTTTCTCTTTATCAGTTATGATCATGCTTAGAAAACCAGCTATATCTTGCCTAAGATCGAGTATATAGCATACTCACTTTATTTATACTATTGAAGTTTCTAGAAAGCACTCCAATTGAGTATTAACTATCAAGTTGAAGGCAATCTTAGATTTATGCGGAAGCGGTTTAGGACCTAGTACATTGGTATGCTTACCGAATCATCATTGTTTCACAATTACCTCTCGGTGCGCAGGTCTTGTGTAGAATCTTCCTTTGTAGGATTCCTCTTCACGAACAGCTCACCTCAGCGCCGCAGCACGAACAACCTTCTTGAAGTTGGACTGTGGCAGATCTTCCAAACTATTTCTCGAGGAGGAAGGGGAAGTGTGTGGGCACTGATTAGATTCAGAGCTTGCCTCTTTCTCACAAAAAAGACCTTGGAGGCTGATGACTTAAGAGGTACTATTTATATGGGTTCCAAGAAACCCTAGCTCATTGGGCTCTAGGTTCCTTGGGCTCTTCTCATACTAATAACCCATTTGGGCTTTAGTAAAAGAGCAAACCCAACAATCTCCCACTTGCTCTTTTGGATACAAACTTGAGTCGTAAAACCCAAGATCATGTAACCCATAAGTCATCATCTATCCGAAAAATACCCCATCTCTTGTCTCAAGCTAGCTTGGGGATCTACCATCTGTTATTAATCAAGGCTCCTGATAATCAACGAATGATTATCTAATTCGGTGCTACTCCACTAAAAGCCCGAACTTGAACTCCAAGATTAACAACACTTATAACATGAATATGCATCGCCCCTTTGTAGAATGTCTATAATTGATTGACAAGTTTTCTGTAACTCAATCAATTATTTATTCCCTTGACTATGATAGTTTCTTTAATGGATTACATGCACTGGCCAGTGTCTTTAATATCCAAGTACCGAAACATATCAAGGGGACATATCCTACAAATTCCATGTTGTTTATCTCATAAATACCGATAATCAAATAATCTCACTCCCAAAATACCGAGTTATTGGCCGTCAATAGATCGAACCTCACCCGTTGGTAAATCAAAGAATGAAAACTATTTGATTACCTATTTATAATAAACTCAGGATTAAGAGCAATTACATAACTATAGTTAACTAGAGATTTGATACCTTATGACAGAAAAACAACCTTAATCAAATCTCTCCTTGATCCTTTCAATGTGAATGTTAACTCACACCAATATTTTACAATGATTCAGACAAAACCATTTCATAAAATATTGCAGCCTAAATAAAGTGCCCAACTTTATTTAACAGCTGTGAATCCATTCATCAATTGTGAGAACCTATGATCATGTCCTCTATGAACGTATCCATATGATCATATACTCCACAATTTGATCCGGACCTTTATGTTTGTAAATAGTGCGCAAAATAAATAAATAAAACCTTATTTATGAAATTCAGAAAATTATTTTATTGTTTCATTGTCTTACTCCAAGAGCACAATGAAACCAATAACTCCCACTTGCTTAATGCAAGTCTGGGATCCTCTTAAGACCCAAAGAAGTAACATGCCTCTCGAACACAAGTTCAGGCAAACTCTTAGTAACTGGGTCTGCAAGATCCACCTCTAATGCTATCTGAGTTTAGTGAAAAACTCATAGCTCGAGGTTGATTTTCTTGAGTCAATATCCACTTGAAATAACTGAATTTTTAAAAACTCAACTTTTCAAGACTCCCACTAGAATATACCAGCATATAATCTCTCGTTCTCCAAAGATACTTGAGTACATGCTTAACAATAATCTAGTATTCCTCTAGGTTCAAAATGGTACTATCTCACTACTCCCACTGCGTGACAGATGTCTGTTTTAACGCCCAACATGATATGCGTGAGTCTACCTTTGCCAAAGCATAAGATATCTTGCTCATGCATTCTTCCTTCTTAGAAGTCTTTGGTCACTCATTAGGAGGATGAATTCCACATATGAGAATTATAATTCTTCTCTTAGAATTCTCATGTTGAATTTTGGCAAGAGTCTTGTCAATGT